GGATAAACAGATTTCCATCTCATGTCTTCCTTACAGAATGAAAGTCCAGTTAAGGACTAAATCGTTGCAAGGATATGACAGGCAGGTAGGGAGGAAGACTTCAGCAACAACTTAATGAGACACGAACTATTCGGTGGAGATAAATAGCGGTCTGCCTTTAGTGAAGTTTTCAGGTTCAGTCAGCTAGCTCTCCAGGGCATCTCTTGCTTTCCGCTCAGTATAAGGGAAAGACCCTCACTGGCTGAGAAGTGGTTTATATGTACAATTTTAAAACTGTTCTACATTGTGCAAATCAGCTAGGCAAATGCTTAAACTTTAACGGGTTTCCACAGATTTTATAAGCACTTCTCTGGCACTGTTTTAGTCTCATTGAGGATGTGGTTGTATTTTCCATGTTTGCTCTTATGTGATGGCTGTGTGTCCTCCAAGTGCTAGATATTTATTTTTGGATCGGTGTGTCAGAAAAACCTCAAATGAATTTTTGATTGGGTAATGGCTTCCTATTTTTGTTTGTATTCCTATATAGTTCTAATTGTGGTTTTTGCATACTCCTTATGCTGTGCTTGTTCTTTTATTGACTTTAAATAAGCCCTTTTAAATTTTAAACTGGGTCATTGACGTGCTTAATATCTGGAGCTAATGATTCTGAAAGCAATCTAGAATCTTCTTTCACTTAGAATGTAACTGGAGTTGTCTTAAGGCAGTGGTCTCCAACCTTTTAAAGGTGAAGATCACTTTTTGAAGAAAAGGGCAACCCGGGATCTACCACACCACCTCCTCTCTCTCCCCCCTCGCCCAGCAGATCAGTCTGTGGGGAAAGGGAGGGGGCAGATCAAGGACCCTGCGGTGAGGGTGGGAGCGGGGCAGGGGTGTGTGGGGCCCTGGCCGGGCTGGGTGGTGGGAGGGTTTCTGGGGCTCTGGACTGCGAGTTTCTGCCTTCCTGGCTCTTTTTCCCCCTGCCCCACCCCAATCCCAGCCAGGCAGAGCTGCATCCTTCCTGGCTCGGAGCTGCAGCGGGGCTGGTGTGGTTAGCAGCGGGGAGCCCAGGGCAAGCAGGTTCTCCCCTAGGCTGTCAGTGTCTCTGGGACTCTTCTCTGCTCCATGACGTGGTCCTTTCTGCTCTGCCAAGGGGAAGTGGGTCTTGGCTGGAGCCCGGCTCTTGGAGCAGAGTAGGGGAGGATGGAACGTGGAACCTGGCAGGGTCGCTCACACCCATACCCTGCCCCCCCAAGCTCTGTACTTCTGCCGCCTCCCTGAGCATGGGCACTGCTGCCAGCCCCAGTCCCATGCTCTGTGCTCCATCCCAGCTGCAGCTCCCTCTCCTACTGCCCCTGCCCCTGCCGCTTCCCTGCCTGGTGCCTGGAGCAAGCGGGATGCCGGGGAGGCCAAGCAGGTCCCCTGGCAGCGGCAGCAGCAGCTCCGCCTGGAAGCCGCATGCTGGCTTGGCCGGGCCATTCTGCCCACAAAGGTGGGAAGAAGGAGTGTGGGCTGAGCAGGGTACTATTAGTTGGTGGGCACCTGCGGGCTGGATGAAATTGCCTGGTGGGCTGGATGTGGCCTGCGGGCTGTATTTCTACAGTTGGTAGTGGCATAATTGAAAAGTAGCCAAGCTTTCTGATTACAGAGATGTACATGTGCACACATGCATGTGTGTGTGTAAAATATAGGAAGAACACTGACAGTATAGACAAACTGACAAATTACAGCAAGTTGATGCGGGATAAATACCTGCCCACTTTAACCACTCTTCCGTAATGGCTTATGAGCTACTGCACGGTAAGGGAAAGGATGCAAACTGTTACCATGAAACAGCTGATACATGTTATGTCACAGGACAGGAGAACAGGCTTTATGCTGAGCGGTTGAGAGCTATGGGACTCTTCAGCCTGGAAAAGTGCAGGCTCAGGGGGGACCTGGTGGCTGCCTATAAGTATATAATGGGCGTATATCAGGAACTAGGGGAGCGCCTGTTCACTAGAGCACCCCAAGGGATGACAAGGTCAAATGGTCACAAACTCCTCCAAGACCGTTTCAGGCTGGATATAAGGAAGAAATTCTTTACAGTCCGAGCCCCCCGGGGCCTGGAACAGACTGCTGCCAGAGGTAGTGCAAGCACCTACCCTAGACTCTCTTAAGAGACATTTGGATGTTTATCTTGCTGGGATATTTTGGCCCTGGCTGACTTCCTGCCCCTGGGGCAGGGGGCTGGACTCAATGATCTCCTGAAGTCCTTCCCAGCCCTAATGTCTATGAAATCTATGAAGTCCTTACCTTTTTAAAACTTGCTATTATTTGTTCTTTTGTCCTTTCTCTCCGTGTACTGGGAATAAACCACTGTTCCAATCTATTGTATGCTAATAGCAGTGGATCCTTCTGAATTTAACACGGGGTCCACTCCTTACCAAAGATTGCTTCAGAGTCAAACTTTCATTTTAAGTGAAGAGAAATTATTCTAAACCTTGAGATTCCAAGCAGCCTTAAAATAGAAACCAAATGTAAACTAATGTGATGATATTTGCTTACATCTGCAAATAACTTGAAAAATATCTCTGAAAGTTATGCACTGTCCTGTTCGTGGATGCTAACTTTGAAACCTAAGGACTACAAGAGCTAAGTTAGATATTAGGAAAAGCTAGTAAAGCACTGGAACAGGTTACCCAGAGAGGTGGTGGAATCTCCATCCCTTGGAAGTTTTTAAGACCCAGGTCGACAAAACATTGGCTGGGATGATCTAGTTGGGGCTGGTCCTGCTCTGAGCAGGGGGTTGGACTAGATGATCTCCTGAGGTCCCTTCCAACCCTAATTTTCTATGATTCTACCACTTGAATAGCCTCAATTTTTTGTTGATCATTTTAAGCAGAAATGTCTAGTTCATATAATCCTCCTACAGTACAAAGTGGTCCTGCAGGTTACACACCTCAGTAGTCTGCTTTACAGTTGCCAAATATCTGGCTTCTTCCTGGTAACTTTTCCAGCACAGTTTTTCTTTATCTGTACAAGAAAATTGTTGCTGTACTAAAAACTGAAAACGTGTGTGCAGGGAGTGGAAAAAATTGAATATAAGCCTACCAGTTCTACTGCATCGTTTGTTTTCATGTCAGATTAAGCATCCTCATTATTTAATATTTCCCTGAAATACCAAAGGAGTTCCAGTCTGTTGCAGAGGTATGCCAAGGAAAGTAGTGGGGTTTGCTGCAAAAATTGGGTTCAGATTCCTGTTTGGTATATTAGGCTTTGGTATTTGTAAAGGATTCTTGTAGGAGTCAGTGGTAAATATGGTTCATTTGGGCAAATCTGTATATTTTTAAAGGGCTGTATTGAATACATATGGGTAAACAAACAGCAAGATATTAAATTTTTTCAGTAAAGATGTCAGATAAATCCTCTTATGTAACAGTGAGAAGGCTGCATAATGCGCTAGCTGTTTTTCTCTACTTTGTACAATAAGCTGTTAATATCTAATTATAAAAATGTAGAATTATGTTTGTTTAGTTACTTAATGTGACATATATAGACTTTTGAGCAAAGACGAACAAAATGCTTAGAAGATATTTTAGAGTTGGAAACAGTGAGTCCTAACACTAGAAGGAAAAAACTAAAAATATAATTAATAGAGATTTGCCATATCAAAGCCAAAAAAGATGCTTGTCCTACTGAGGAAGGTGCAGAAATGAAATAAATGAAAGCTTCAATATGGTAGAGTCCATCATCTGTTATATGGAAAAGGAATATTTTAAGGTATATATTGGGGAAGGAATTCAAGATATATAAAACAACACAAATACAGTGACCCTTCTAAACTTGGGTGTTGTAGTGAGGGAACAGAGAAGAGGCTCAGACTTTGGATAGATTGAGCTGCATATACTGTTTGAGGAAGGTAGTGTGGAACATACTTATAGGGCATTAAAAACCCAGAACTCCATTTGATTTTGTTTTGTAGGTGCATACGATACTAGTTACGATGGTAAAATAAAAGAGTAGTCTGGCAACTTCCTTATATACTTTCTTTAATTTAGAAAGTTGGAATTTATGGGTGTAAGCTTGAGTACTGAGAACATCAGTACTCAAGTGGGGAGTGTTTAACATGCAGGCGGGGGCTGGGTAAGATGGATTCTAGGTTTGAAGCATTGTATAGAGACCACGGTTTTCTGTTCTCTAGTCATGACAGCAAAGTTCTAGGATTGCCTTGTGTTTTTCTTCTAATCACGGTAAAACTCTTGTTGATTACTCATTTTTGTAAACTCATTTCTTTCTAAGTGTTTGCCTTAGGCTGGAAAAAGTATGTTCATGACATTAATTTAATGATTAGTAGATATTTTCAAAGGCACAAAGGAGACCAGCCAGCTCCCACCGAAAGTGAGTGCCTAACTCTGTTTGTGCCCTTAGAAATTTCTGCTCCCTCCCTCTCTCCTGGTGCTATGAGGATGTAAGAACATACTGGATCAGACCAGTAGTCCTGTCTCTGACAGTGACAGAAGTGGATGCTTTAGGGAGAGCATTGAATCAGGTATATTTAGAGTAGCGATTTCTCAAACCTTTTAGACTTGAGGCGCCCTTCCATACCTTTTGTGAATTGAATGGCACACAATTTAATGAACCAACATATATCACAGTGCTTACGTCGTTGCAGAGGGACTGGGCAGTGGATGTGGGGGATCCTTCAGGTAGGGAAAAGCCTGTGCTTGTGTTCTCTACTTAGCTTTCCTCTTCACACTTTGTGGCACCTGTTAAAGGATCTGGTGGCACCCTGGTTGAGAATCACTGATCTAGAGTGATCTATCATCTTATATTCATTACCCCCTGTGGCATCCACCGTTATTGGTTTAGTGATGCTGGAGGAAACACCTCCCATTGTTCTGTATAATTGAACAGATGTAAAATTGGATAAAAGGAGAGCACCTCTGAAAATTCATTGCTGTGTCTGAAGATTTGTCCCAGGTAAGTAAAGTACTAAAATTGAATACAAGTAAAAATAATTTTCTATTTTCTATTGTCTTTAGGGTGCAAAGTTTGGGCATTCAGTTGGATTAGCTCAGGCCCCTCAACGTTCTTCTGTTCGGAGATCATTTGGAAGATCTAAGCGATTTAGCATTACCCGTTCACTGGATGATCTTGAGGTAATTTTAATTTTCAAGTTCTATGTAAAATTTCTCTCACATAGAAATATTGTAGCAATTTTCCCAAATACATAAGATGGAAGCAATGATTGGAATAAATTTAACTGATGGTTGGAATAAAGTAACTAATTTAAAATTGGTATGTGTGTAAGCTACAGGTTTGAGTTGTGACCTGAGTTTTTTCAGAATTTTTTGAGAACTTGAGCTAATGCTCCTAGTGGTCATTCTTTCCATGTGTAGCATATCTGGCTGTGAGGGTGGCTGTGATACTCCCTGATGGCCAAGCAACACCTGCCTCACTCTAGCTTTTCCTCCCTTTTCTAACTCACCTGTCGTGCCTTGATTGAATTTATAGTATTGCAGGAGGCTGCCCCAGGGTCCTAGAATGCTTCAGTCCCTCAACTACCTTGTGCTCCATGTACCTGACCAGTACCAGTCCTGCCCTCAGGCACTAAATTGTCTTATGGACATTAACCTTGGCCCACTATCTCACCCCTATAGCCACAATCTGGTCCTCCAGTGTAGAAACTTAAATATAACACACAAGCAAACTGCTTCCCAAACCTTATCTTAATCCTCACTATGGGCCAAAGCCCCACCCCAAGCCGTATGTCCACTTCAGTTGCCCCATCTAGCTTCCTGGGTAGTCTGGCTGTCCCTGGGTCTTTCCTGAAGCCCCTCTCTCCCCGGAGCTGCTTTTTGCACAGCATACAGGGCCAGACTGCCCACTTTGCTTCTGGCCCTGGGTATATATGTCTCTAAGCCCCACCCCTCCTGGTCATGAGGCTTGGTCTGGGGCAGCCTCCCGCAATACTATGTACTCTCTACTTAAAGTGACAGAAGCCTCTGGCTCCCTGTCACGCCATGTGAAACATTGCTGGGTTTTTGGTTGTAGCCTTGTTGGTCTAAGAATATAGGCAGGCAAGTTTTTTTGAGTAGATGTGATGTATTTTATTAGACCAACTGAGTAGTTGGGGAAAAGAAGTTCTTAGCAAGCCTTTGGACACAGTCACCCTTCTTCAGGCTTAGGGAATCTTTGCTATTCTGAGAGTCCAGGAAATGAGAGAAGCTACAAGTGTGACAGGATGTCAGTGAGAATGTAAATAGGTTGCAATTAGAAAGACAAAAAGTAAAGGAGAGAGGCGAGGGCGAAGAAAGCAGGGGAAAAAAAGCTGAAGAGAAACATTACAGTGATAGACTACAGGGTGGAAAAGAAGCTGTCAGTGAAAAATAATAGTTGGAGATCAAGAAAACAAGAATTAGATGAGCTCAAAGTGTAAGAGGATGGTAGTGTAAATATAAAAAAGTAGAAATGAGAAACAAAAGGTAAAGCAGAGGATGGAGGGGGAAGAAAGCAGGGGGGAAAAGGCCAAAGGGAAACATTACAGAGGTAAATATACAGGGTAAGAAAGGCTCTCAGTGAAGAAGGAAATAGTAGGAAATCAGGGAGGCAAAGGGCAGGAAAGCAGGGAAAGGGAGAAAAGGTGGGGGGAAAAGAAGAATGTAAGAGGTTAGGTCAAGCAGGTACCTATTGAATCAGATGTCAGGCAGGTTGTAATGTGTTATAAAAACAATATATTGAGTTAGAAGTTGGTCTAATAAAAGATATCAGATTCATGCAAAGAACGTTGTCTGCCTATGTCCTTAGACCAACATGGCTACAACCTACACCCCTGTATATTGAGTCCAGGACTTTTTGTTTGCAGTAGATTTATGAAATGAAGTTCGTAGGCTCATCTACAAAAAGTGTTTTGTAAGTTCCCTTTGAGGATTAGAATTGAGAGATCAGAGAGGTTGTGATGGTCTTATGAGAAGTGTGCCCCCACAGGTAGCTGGGTATTCTTGTCTTTGATGGATTTTCGGTGTGTGTTCATTTTGGTGCACAGTTCTTGTTTGGTTTTTCCAACATATTTCCCATCAGGGCATTTGGTGCACTGGATGCGATGTATAACATTTCTGGAGATGCAGCTGTAGGATCCAGGAATGGTGATGGTTCTATTGTAGGGTGTAGTAGGCCATGTGAAACATTGACTTCTTTTGACTCATCACAGCCTACCAAGACCTCTAAAGTACACATGACTTGATTAAATGTATGAACTAATTGCTTAGTCATATATTTTTACCAGTCTGTTTCAGTTCAACAGACAGTCATTTGACCAGTGCTCTGAGAGGATCCTGAGGGTGAAATATGTATATGTCTTGATATGTGCCCAGTTTCTATGCATAACTTAGTAAATAGTATAACTTACTGAACAGGCATAATTTGCTATCTAAAAAATAGATATTATCATTTCCTTTATTGTTATCGGCTGAATAAAGCAAATGCCTAAGTTAACTTTGGCATGTAATACAGTAACTTTGAATCTTGGTTTTTGATCAGATTTTGGGGAACATTTTAGGCCAACTTGTTGATTTTGATTAAAATCAGAAAACTAGAATACATTTGAATTTTAAATTAAATGTTCCTTGCTGAGCGGGAAAATGAAGAGGATAGTGAGGAAATTTTCATTCCTCCTTCCTACTATGCTGCTTCCCCCATGCCTGTTCCCTGGTGAGGGGGGAGAGAGAAGCAGGCAGCAATAGCTGTGTTCCTATTTCTTTAACTCTGAGTAAAAACAATAGTTTGGGAGTGGGGTAGGGAAGAAAGATAGATACACAGAAGCTGTGGTCTGGGAGGGGATAAGGGAGCAAGGTCACAAGTATCTATAGGATGGGATGGGGGAAGGGTGTCATGGGGAGCATATAGAACCCTAGGGATCATGGGAGGAAATGTCAGAGTCTGTTACAAAGAGAGGAAGATGGGATCATGTTCAGGGAGAATGGAGGGATACAAGGAGCCCTTAGTGTGTGATGAGCTTGTTTTACAGAAGCAATGAACTGTGCAACTCTCCAGTCTAAAATTAATAATTTTGTTATTTCATCATTATTTTAAGCAGGGAGAAAGTAAATGTTCCTCACTGAGAACCATTTTCATGTTCTCATCTGAAGTCTTAAAATAAAGCAATTTATCCAGCTGTACTAAAGTACCTGATAAGTTGTCTCAAGGACTAGAAATACTTTTTTTTATTTGATTTTTAGCACATATTCCGAACTTGAGAATGGTAGATTATCTTTACATTTTAATAAGCAAAACAAAATCTTGGGGGGGGGGGCAGGAAACAAAAACTGATTAGGAATTGTCTGACTAAAATTGGTTTTGATTATAAATGCTAATTCAAAAATCAAATTGAATCAACACTTTTCATGGCAGTGTGCGTTCCAATTCTTAAAAGGATGGAATTGCTGGCTAAAAGGAGAGATATGCTGATAGGTGGACTCCAGAGGAGATTGTTGTTTAGGACACTCACATGGGTGGTAGGAACTCAAGGTATACTCAGCTCCTTCCAATTTAAGTCTATGGAGGCTTACAAGGTTGTCTGATGGTCCAGCGGGTGTTGTAACCACCAGACTAGTGGCTGTTCGGGGGTGGACCTCTCTCTCCTTTAGGAACTTTTTTAGTTTGCGTAATTATTCTGTTTTCCTCCATCCCAGGTAGGTGCCATAACCGCTGGGCTAAAAAGTCAATCTCTTGCTCTCTAGCCTAATGAATATTCAGTTATTTATGCAAAGTAGAACAGCTCCAGCAGGAAAAAGTGAAAAACACCACACCCAGATTATCCAATAGCCTGCTGGTTAGGGCATTCATCTGAAAATGTTGGACACTGCATTGCAAATTCCTGAGCTCAATTAAGCAAGTCAAGGCTTTGTCTTTTGCTTTCCCATATCCTCGACGAGTGCCCTGACTGATCACTTGCCGATTGACTCTTTGGGGATAGGTTGGCCTCCCTGTCTTTCACCTTGAAAAAGTTATTGGTTTTATCCCTGTGCAGAACAGCAACATTTTTGAGACCTACCAAGTTCTTTTTTCAAAGACCGAATGAGAGAAATATCCAACTAGAAGGTAATTCACTTTAAAACCATGTAAGTGAATGACAACTAAGTGTTTAGAATGGAAATGTCCAGTTCTAACTATAGCCTTGCTATTGCTGCTCTATAATTTGGTATTTGATTGCACAAACACTGCTATTTCTAGTATAGTACAATATAACGTTGTCAGAACATGTTTAGAATATTTCAGGGCAGACTTGCTGGAAGGGGAGACAACAATACCAGGAAATTCTTAGAGGCTCCACCTTTGAATAATGACCATGAGCATAATATGGAGGTTATTCACTTGTTTTGGACTCACATCCCTGTCTTTAAGCAGAACGGATGTGTTGATGTTTTAAACATTAGTTTTGAAATGGGTAAACTGCCTCAACTGCCCATTTTATGGGTTCAAATCTTAATAGCATCAGCTCAAGTATTCAGTACGGAACAGCAGAAATCAAATTGTATATAATATTTTGTACATGGGTATTTTTAAATTGAATTAATTCCTCTCAAAGGCCCCAATAGAAATAGTTTATTCATCTGAGTATGAGTTTGTCCCACACTTTCTGGGCAACATTTTATTGCTGTGTCATTACATTCTGTGCTCTGTATCGTGTATTAATGTCAGTCTGTCTGTTATGTGCCATGAAGTTGCATGGTTCCTTTGAGATTCCTTTTTTTTGAAGGGGCTTCTTAAATATAAAATATTTTTATATACATACTGCTGTAAGAAACAAAAACAACTGGCATTTGATAATATTTTGCTTCTTTTAGATATAGAGCTTGAAAGATGAATAAACTGTATCCTTATGAGGCTAGAATAACTGCATAACCATACAGCTATCACTCCTAGGCAATTTCCCTGTACTTGCAGGAGGTATATATTGATGAAAGTTAAAATCTAAGCAGTTTCAACTTTCATAGAATCATAGGGCTGGAAGGGACCCTGAAGGATCATCAAGTCCAGCTGTCTGCATGAGCAGGAAAGACATCTGGGGTCAGACATCCTCAGCCAGGTGACTGTCCAGTCTTCTCTTGAAGACCTCTAGGGTAGATGATTGCACCACCTCTGTGGGAGCTTGTTCCAT